CCCCAAAACCCCAAAACCCCAAAACCCCTAAATTTCTAAAAAAATTGAAATTTGCTAAATTTGCTAAATTTTCACAAACTGAAGTACAGAAATAGCCAATCCGACCAAAACCAAGCAGCCATGCAGGAAGCACGTCAGGTAGAATCTCAGGTACTCTTTCCGGCTGAGCTGGTGTTCCTCTGCTGGCTGTAGCCGGTTCGAACAGATTGAGGAAGTAATCTCCTGTGGCTTGGAAAACCTTGTAAAGTTAGGTGTCACTTGTTTCCTCCGGTTCTGGAAAACTCTCCTTTCTTGGATTCTTGATCGAAACATGTTGATTTGCTCCCGAAGAGCCTTGTTTTTATGGCCCTCTTCGGAGCTAGAGTCGCTACTGTTAGCTTTTTGTACGGAAGAGTACCCAGGAGTTTGTGTCCTGACTAGTAACTGAGGAGAAACTGATGATTTTGGACCTAAAGCAATGTCAAAAACTGATATCAGAATGTAAAAATAACGTACCCCCATTTTTGAATCCTCCAGCTGTCTTTATTCTGTTAAAATCAAGTGCTTCAACAAGTCCTGGATTAGAAATCTCCAAGAGGTATCTCTTGAGGTAAACTGATATAGGAATGATGTACATAAGATTCAGGCCTAAAATTGACCCAAAAAGCCCAATCATCGATCCTACTTGTGGATATACCGAGCCCAAGATCATATTAAATCCAATGAGAATCACATTGCTCATGATTGACACTGCTCGACTCATGGTTTCTTTCTGAAACAAAAGTAAAGAGACCTGCATCCTCATTATGTGATACAGTAGCGGATATATCATAATTAGCTGTATGAATATCACTATTCTTGCAATGAAGGCAAAGACGTGTTTGGGAGGGAAAATATTCAGACAGTTCTGGTTGTACTCAACATCTTGGCTAAACCCAATATATCCAAGCGTGCCGATGAATATGTAGCAGATACAAGTCGAGAGATACCCACAGAATAAGTCCCTCACATTATTCTGCTTGTTCTTGTTGTTTTTAAGGATTGGCAGGCTCACGTTGTGTAGTCAGTAACCGATAGTAAGCATACCTGCCAGTGGTGCGAAGTTAGTGTTTATCAAAAGTAGATTCGAGGTATCCAAAGAGCTCTGAAATCCTGCTTCAAATACAAAACTTGTCGTTGTCAAAGCAGTTACTCCATAATATAGAATGAAGAAGATGATGAAGACTATTCAAGCAGTCCCAAAGGAGTTAAGCTTAATGAATACGTCAATACTTCCAAAGCTTCACATTAGGAAGAGAATCACGGAAAGGATTAGTCATGAATACGCTAGAGAAAACTCTTTCAATGTGAAAGCCAGTGAGACCTCTCCTTCTGTAGAACTGATCCATTGGATGATACCTTCAATGACAGGATAGAGAGCTTGCGACATTAGCTCGAAGTATACATTACATGCAGCATAGATAAATAAGATTGATCCTAGCATAGTGAGGACCCATCCCTTATTTCCAAAATATTTGTATACAGTATCTGCATAGTCGTTATCTTCATGAGCTACAAGAATAACCAAATAGCATGTATAAAAACTGATAAGAAACAGTGCTATTGTGACTCCGATTCCCAGTAACAGACCAGATTGGGAGTAAGCCCATGGAAGACTTGTCAAGCTCGAGCCTATAGGATTATTTTTATTAATTTTCTTCCAAAATTACGATTCATGAAGTAAAAATAGCTGAACTTACCAATTAAGCAATTCATGATACTGAAAATAGTGATTATTGAGCCTTGGCTTTTATGAGGCAGTAAGATCCAGTTCGGGTCGATTACATGCATAGGAGTATCTAAGTAATTCATCCTTTCTCCTAAATGTTTCAGCCCTGTTTTTAACGCAGAGTAATACTTCATTCTGTGGTAACCATGATGGTTAGACGGAATGTTAATAGGAGACCTCCCAACATGATTTGTAGGCGTCAGAGTGTTACTCACTGAATATTTCACCTTAAAGAGACTCTCAGGTGCTGTATTCACTGGAGTCAAAGGCTCATATTTTGTTCTAGCCAACAGATTCATTATATTCACAATAAATATTAATTATTGTTAGCTTTAGAATTGGGGTTTTGGGGTTTTGGGGTTTTGGGG